GATTTATCCCTGGGCTGCAAGGTTGGTTCAACATCCGCAAATCAATCAACGTGATACAATACATTAACAAAAGAAAGAACAAGAATCATATGATCCTCTCAATAGATGCAGAAAAAGCATTTGACAAAGTACAGCATCCTTTCTTGATCAAAACTCTTCAGAGTATAGGGATAGACGGTACATACCTCAATATCATAAAAGCCATCTATGAAAAACCTACAGCGAATATCATTCTCAATGGGGAAAAGCTGAGAGCTTTTCCCCTAAGGTCAGGAACGCGGCAGGGATGTCCACTATCACCACTGCTATTCAACATAGTATTAGAAGTCCTAGCCACAGCAATCAGACAACAAAAAGAAATCAAAGGCATCCAAATCGGCAAAGAGGAAGTCAAACTCTCACTCTTTGCAGATGATATGATACTGTATGTGGAAAATCCAAAAGACTCCACCCCAAAACTGCTAGAACTCATACAGGAATTCAGTAAAGTAGCAGGATATAAAATCAGTGCACAGAAATCAGTGACATTTCTATACACCAACAACAAGACAGAAGAGAGACAAATCAAGGAGTCGATCCCATTTACAATTGCACCCAAAACCATAAGATACCTAGGAATAAATCTCACCAAAGAGGCAAAGGATCTGTACTCAGAAAACTGTAAAATACTCATGAAAGAAATTGAAGAAGACACAAAGAAATGGAAAAACATTCCATGCTCATGGATTGGAAGAACAAACATTGTGAAGATGTCAATCCTACCTAGAGCAATCTACACATTCAATGCAATCCCCATCAAAATACCATCCACTTTTTCAAAGAAATGGAACAAATAATCCTAAAATTTGTATGGAACCAGAAGAGACCCCGAATAGCCAGAGGAATGTTGAAAAAGAAAAGCAAAGCTGGTGGCATCACAATGTCGGACTTCCAGCTCTATTACAAAGCTGTCATCATCAAGACAGTATGGTACTGGCACAAAAACAAACACATAGATCAATGGAACAGAATAGAGAGCCCAGAAATGGACCCTCAACTCTATGGTCAACTCATCTTTGACAAAGCAGGAAAGAATGTCCAATGGCAAAAAGACAGTCTCTTCAACAAATGGTGTTGGGAAAATTGGACAGCCACATGCAGAAGAATGAAACTGGACCATTTCCTTACACCACACACAAAAATAGACTCCAAATGGTTGAAAGACCTAAACGTGAGACAGGAGTCCATCAAAATCCTAAAGGAGAACACAGGCAGCAACCTCTTCGACCTCAGCCGCAGCAACTTCTTCCTAGAAACATCGCCAAAGGCAAGGGAAGCAAGGGCAAAAATGAACTATTGGGATTTCATCAAGATAAAAAGCTTTTGCACAGCAAAAGAAACAGTCCACAAAACCAAAAGACAACCGACAGAATGGGAGAAAATATTTGCAAATGACATATCAGATAAAGGGCTAGTATCCAAAATCTATAAAGAACTTATCAAACTCAACACCTAAAGAACAAATAATCCAATCAGGAAATGGGCAGAAGACATGAACAGACATTTTTCCAAAGAAGACATCCAAATGGCCAACAGACACATGAAAAAGTGCTCAACATCGCTCGGCATCAGGGCAATCCAAATCAAAATCTCCATGAGATACCACCTCACACCAGTCAGAATGGCTAAAATGAACAAGTCAGGAAATGACAGATGTTGGTGGGGATGTGGAGAAAGGGGAACCCTCCTACACTGTTGGTGGGAATGCAAGCTGGTGCAGCCACTCTGGAAAACAGTATGGAGATTCCTCAAACAGTTGAAAATAGAGCTACCATACGATCCAGCAATTGCACTACTGGGTATTTACCACAAAAATACAAATGTAGGGATCTGGAGGGGTACGTGCACCCCAATGTTTATAGCAGCAATGTCCACAATAGCCAAACAGTGGAAAGAGTCCAGATGTCCATTGACAGATGAATGGACAAAGAAGATGTGGTATATATACACAATGGAATATTATGCAGCCATCAAAAGGAATGAGATCTTGCAACAGCAGGAGACAGAGGTGTGTGCAGAGGGCAGATAACCTGGCCGCAGCTTTTCCCTGTGCCTCACCATACACTCCAGACAGCTGTGTGGCTGTGCACCTGCTTCTCTGGGACAGAGTGGTGCCGGGTGCAGGTGTGGCACTGTGAGGCTCTTCTCTCGGGGAGGGGAGCAGGTCCATGCCTTGCTGGGTCCTTTAAGATTTGGAGTTTTGAATCCCAGCCACAGGCCAGAGATAAAACACAGAACTGTGGTGCTGGGCATGCCAGCAGCCCAGGCACAGACAGGTTGAGGGTAGGGATCTGACGGAAACCTGGGACACAGGAGGGGAGATTATTTACTTTTCTGTGAGGGCCTCCTGAACAGCCATGGCTCGAGTTTCCCTTACCTAGGGATGAGAGGACAGGGAGATGCCATCTTCCATAACACACAAAAGACAGAAACTTAGACAAAATGACAAGACAGAGGAATTCTCCCTCCAAAAAGACAAGAAGAAATCACAGCCAGGGATTTGCTCAAAACAGATATAAGAAATATACCTGAACAAGAATTTAGGAAGACAGCATAAGGATCCTAGCTGGGCTTGCAAGAAGCATAAAAGACACCAGAGAAACCCTGGCTGCAGAGATAAAAGACCTAAAAACTAGTAAGGCTGAAATAAAAAATGCTATAACTAAGAATGCAAAACCGACGAGATGTAATCCCAACACGGATGGAAAGAGCAGAGGATCCAATATGTGATATAGAAGATAAAATTATGGAAAATAATGAAGCTGAAAAGAAGGAAAGAAAACTCTCAGATCACGAATATAGACTTAGGGAATTCCGCGGTTCTACAAAGCGCAATAATACCCATATCCTAGAAGTCCCAGAAGAAGAAGAGTGGGAAAAAGGGGCAGAAGGTTTATTTGGACATATGTATTTGAACATAACTTCCCCAATCTGGGGAAGGAAACAGGCACTCAAGTCCAAGAGACACAGAGAACTCCCTCAAAATCAACAAAAACAGGTCACCACCAAGATGTATAGTGAAACTTGCAAAATATAAAAAGAATGAAATGTTGCCATTTGCAATGATGTGGATGGAGCTGGAGATTATTGTGCTAAGCAAAATAAGTCAGAGAAAGACAAATATCATATGATTTCACTCATACGGGGAATTAAACAAAACAAATGCACATGGAAAAAAGAGGCAAACCTTAAAGCAGACTCTTAACTATAGAGAACAAACTAAGGGTTGCTGGAGGGGAAGTGGGTGGAGGATGGGTTAAATGGATGATGGGTATTAAGGAGGGCACTGGTTGTGATGAGCACTGGGTGTTGTATGTAGGTGATAAGTCACTGAATTCTACACCTGAAACTGATATTACACTGTATGTTAACTAACTAGAATTTAAATAAAACTTGAAACTGGAAAAAAGATTCTATTGTTCAGGTGAGTTTTAGGGAGAATGCTTTTCCTTTTTGTATATAAAAGCACTTACCTTGAGTAATTTTCCTGACCTCTTGCCTTATTATTCCTTTATTAGACTCTCCAGGGGGGTGGGAATGACTTGTGTTTGATGGAGTTGGGAGAGAGAACTGGCCCCTCCTGGGTCCTATTTCTTTGGGACCTTCCTGTCTGTGGTGAATGATCTTTGTCATAGGCTTTCTGTCACATAGCAAACAGCCCCTGCAGGCGGAGGCTTGCAGTTTGAGGGGACAAGTTCAATTCAGGGATATCAGGAATCCACACTACTCTCTTTGACACCATTTCATCAATAATAGAGAAAGTATTTTATACTATTTATCTGACTCCTGTATCTATTTTTCAGTTAGTTCCTAATTGTGGGCAAGAAAGGGTTGTTATTTATTGGGCCCTTCAAACTCCAAGCAAGTACATAAATAACCACAATATGAGCTACAGTAACATAGGTGGTGTATTAATCTGCAGAAGATAAGCAATGCTGCTGTAACAAATAAGAGCCAAAACTCTCAATGACTTAATGCAATAGAAGTTTATTTCTCCCTCATGTCACAGTCCAGTGTGAGATGGCTGGCCTCTTCTGTCTTTTAGCCATGCCTTCCAGAGTCGCTACAACAGGAGAGGAGGGAAATGGAGGAGGCACACTAGCTCTTAAGCTCTTAGCTTGCCCTGGAATTAATACTCAACACTTCTACTGAACTTAGACATAACTGTTCACATGGCTCTAAACAAGGGAGGGGTGCCTGGGTGGCTCAGTCAGTTAAGCTTCTGACTCTTGATTTCAGCTCAGGTCATGATCCCAAGGTCATGAGACCGAGCCCCATGTAGGGCTCCACACTGGGTGTGGAGCCTGCTTAGATTCTCTCTCTCCCTCTCCCTCTGCTTCTCCCCCCTCCCTCTCTAAATAAATAAATAAATAAAAATTAAAAATTAAACAACTGAAGGGAGGCTTGGCAATGTGGAGGAACACATGGATACTTGGTGAGCACAAACTGTGTCTGCTTTAGGTAGGTTCAGAACAATCAGGGAAGGTTCAAAGGAGCAGAGTAGGGAAGAAAGGGGGTTGAGTAGTACTCAAAGCATATTTTGCCTATTTCATAGCTTTCTCAAAGCCAAATACTCTGTCTGAAATTTATCTATGCATTTCTTCAGAGTCCAGTGCCATCAGGCCATTTACAAATTAACTTAATACGAGAATTGAGAATTTTTCCCATGAAGTATGCATTTTATTTGGGGTCTTCTGGAGATAATAAGCTCTTGGTTTTATTGCATGTTTATTGTCTTTGTTTCACTATGTTCTATATTATTCATGACTTTAGGAGTCAGAATTTTGGGTCCACAATATTTTTGAATACTGTGAGCTTTCAGTACTCTTCAAATCACATCAAGTAGGACTTTGGGTTTTTCCCCCCCAAGATGGGATTTGTTTGAGTAGGAGTTATCTAATATAACCATATTTAAATATGGCTAAACATTCTCTCTGAATTAATCAGTTGGTATTTGTTAGTTTTTTTTCTAGGAAGAGAATCCAAGATCTTTCTAGGCCTAAAAAGCAATGGGGAACCCCAGATAGGTAAGGCAACATTAGTCTTGTTTGTGAGGATTGTGTTACCTTACATTAAATAGGTAAGTATGATTCTTACTCGCCCACTGACCTTGCATCCCAGGTTTATCCACTCTGTGGTCAACTGAATCCACTGAACCAATATTGTCCTCTCAGTTAAGTCAACACATGAAAGGCTAACCCTAAGTCAGTAGTTCTCAAATTAATCTGTACATGGAATCACCTGGGGACCTATTAAAACACTGATACCTGGGCTCCATCCCCAGAAATCCTGATTTACTTGGTCTAGAGTCCAGCCTAGCCTTTGGGAGTGTTAGAAGCCCACAGATGATTCTAATAAGCAGATGGGTTTGAAAACCACTTTGAAACTCTTGTGTCCATCCTTTGGGTTCAACTTTGCTCCTTCTAATGTACTGTCTGTAAGCCTCTGCCTAGAGCAAACCTGTTCTCTGGATCTCCAGCCAATAAGGACCCACTGACCTCCCATCCTTCACCACATTTTTTCTTCTTTGGCTCCTGAGTAAAGCCTTAATTTTTTCCCTTTTTTCTGATCCTATTGCTTTAAAAAAATAATACACTTTATTTTTAAAGCAGTTTTAGGTTTACAGAAAAATTGGCCAGAAGTACAGAGAGAGTTTCTGTATTACTACCACTCCTCTTGTTTCTCCCATTATTAACATCTTGTGTTTGTGTGGTACATTTATTACAATTGATGAAGAAGTATTGACCCATTATTCACTAAAGTCTGTAGTTTACATTAGGGTTCACTTTTTGTGTTGTACACTTCTGTAGATTTTGACAGATGCATGTCATGTATTCACCATTACAATATTTTTTTTAAAGATTTTATTTATTTATTACAGAGAGAGAGCATGGGGGCGGGGCGCTCAGAGGGAGAAGCAGACTCCCTGATGAGCAGAGAGCCCAATGCGGGACTCGATCCCAGGACCCTGGGATCATGACCTGAGCCGAAGGTGGATGCTTCACCAACTGAACCACCCAGGCGCCCTCACCATTACAGTATTATGTAAAATAGTTTCCTTGCCCTAAAAATTACCCATGCTCTACCTATTCATCTTTTTCCCTCTGTGCTCCCTTCTCCAAAACCCTGGCAACCACCGATCTTTTTACTATATCTATAGTTTTGCCTTTTCGAGAATGTCATATAGTTAAAATGATACAGTATATAACCTTTTTATATTGGTTTCTTTCACTTAGTAATATACATTTAAGGTTCCTCCATGTCTTTTCATTGCTTGGTAGCTCATTTCTTTTTAGCACTGACGAATATTCCATTGTCTGGTTGTAGCATAGTTTGCTTATCCAGTCATCTGTTGAAAGATACATTGTTTGCTTCCGATTTTTGGCAATTATGAATAAAGATGCTATAAACATTGATGTGCAGGTTTTCATGTAGATAAAAGTTTTCAATTCATTTGGGTAAACACCTAGGAATGCAATTTCTGGATTGTATGGTAAGAATATGTTTAGCTTTGTAAGAAATTGCTAAACATCTTCTAAAGTGTCTAGCAATCCCACCATCAATGGATAAAATAGTTGCTGTTGTTCTACATCCCCACCAGCATTTGGTGTTTTGTATTTTAGCCATTCTAAAGGTGTATAGTGGTGTCTCTCTCATTGTTTTAATTTGTAATTCTCTAATGACCTGATGCTGAGCATATTTCATATGCTGATTTACCATCTGCATATTTTCTTTGGTGAAGTGTGTGTTCAACACTTTTGTTCACTTTTTAATTGGGTGTTTGTTTTCTTATTGTTGAAATGTAAGTGTTCTTTGTATATTTTGAATACCAATCTTTTATCAGATGCTATAGACTGAATGTTTATGTTCCCCTAAAATTTATAAATTGAAAACCTAATCCCCAGTGTGATGGTATTAGGAGGTAAGGTCTTTGGGAGGTATTAAATCATGAGGATGGAGCACCCGTGAATGGGATTAATGTCCTTATGAAAGAGACCTCAGAGAACTCCCTTGCTCCTTCAGCAATGTGGGAACACAGAAGAAGATGCCTGACTATGAAACAGAGAGCAGGTCCTCACCAGGCACTGAATCTGCTGATGCTTTGATCTTGGACCTCCAAACTCCTAGAATTGTGAGAAATAGATTTCTGTTGTTTATAAGCTCCCCCATCTATGGTATTGGTATTGTAACCTGAATTCCAGGTTACAATGTTGTAAGATTGTCAAACATCAGATATGTGTCTTGCAAGTATTTTCTCCTAGTTGGTGGCTTATCTTTTCATTCTCTTAGCAGTGTCTTTTGCAGAGCAAAAGTTTTTAATCTGAATGAGGTTCAACTTATCAATTTTTCTCTTTCATGGATCATGCTTTGGTCATATTTAAAAATGAATTGCTAAATCTAAGGTCACCTAGATTTTCTCTTACATTACTTTCTAGAAGTTTTATAGTTTTGTGTTTTACATTTAGGTCTATGATACATTTTAAGTTAATTTTTGTGAAAGGTGTCTCTAGATTTACTTTTTTGCATGTGGGTGTCCAGTTTTCTAACACCATTTTTTGAAAAGACTATCCTTTCTCTGTTGGGTAACTTTCAATCCTTTGTCAAAGGTCAGCTGATTATATTTGTGTGGATCCATTTCTAGGATCTATATTTTCCCATTGATCTATTTGTCTATTCTTTCACTAATACTACTGTCTGATTACTGCAGTGTTACAGTAAGTCTTGAAGTCAGCTAGTGGCAGTCCTCTGATTTTGTTCTTCTTTTTCAATTTTGTGTTGTCTATTCTGGATTTTTTGCCTCTCCACACAAATTTTAGAATCAGTTTGTGAATGAATATCCATAAAGTAACTTGTTGGGATTTTGACTGAGATTGCACTGGATCTGTAGATCAAGTTGGAAAGAACTGACGTCGTAACAATTATTGGCTCTTTGTATCTATGAACATGGACTGTCTCTCCATTTATTTAGTTCCACCTTGATTTCTTTCACCAGAGTTTTGTAGTTTTTTTAATAGAGATCTTATACTTATGTGGTTAGATTTACACCTATGTATTTACATTTTTTTGGTGCTAATGTAAATAGTGTTCTGTTTTTAATTTCAAATTCCCATTGTTCATTGCTGGTGTATAAGAAATCAGTAGAATTTGAATATTAACGTTATATCCTGCAACTTTGCTATAACCTAAAAATTTAATTTTTAAAAGGCTTGTTTTTAAACATAAAGAATATAATATGCTTTAAATTCTCTCTTTTTCATGGATGGGTACATACACATATACATTGATGAGAGGTATGCATTGATAAGAGATGTGTTAATGAATATTGCTAGAACTGTCAGTAATCTTAGAACACTCCTCTCCAACCTACTCCTATTTGAAACCATTAGAAAGTTTGAAGGAGTGATTTGATTAGGCAATTGAGCTCAAAAAAGTTAAGTAACCCAGCCTGCATGTACCAAAACTGGGATTTGAATCTATGTTCATTGCACACAAAGCCCATTTACCTACATTATATCACAATGGCTGTTTTAGAAAGGCATGGTCCCTTTGAAAGCATGGAGCATTACAGTCAGGAAGATTGATTTGGGGCTATTACGATAATGCAGGAGAGAAATAATGAAGGTTTGTCCTAAGAGAGTGGCTTTAAGGGTTACAAGAAAGGTTAGAGTCAAGAGAGAGATGGATAGGACTTGGTGACAAATGAAGAAGCTGAAGGAGAGGAGGAATCAAATATGATTTCTAGGTTTGTGTTTTTAGAAATAAAGTGGAAAACATTGTAACTGCAAAAGGAAATATAAGAGGGGGACAGGTTTGGGAGGAAGGTACATTTTGTCATGTGGGATGCTTTTGAGACATCCAGTAAGCATTTGGAAATAAATATTTAACACTCAGAGAATGCTTGAGAATTCTTGGAGATACTATTTTGGAAACATCATATTTAGTGATACTTTTTTTTTTTTTAAGATTTGTTGTTCATTTATTTTAAAGAGAAAAAGAGCCTGGGAGGGAGGGGCTGAGAGAGAGGGAGAGAGAGAGAGTCCCAAGCAGATTCCCCACCGAGTGTGGAGCCCAGTGCAGGGCTCTATCCCATGACCATGAGATCATGACCTAAGCCAAAGTCAAGAATCAGACACTTAACCCACTGAGCCACCCAGGCACACTTTTGATTTTTAAAAAATTTTTAAGAAATAGGAAGAGGGAACCTTGGGGCACATGCCATTGTTTAAGTTGCAAAAGAGATACTTCCTAAGGAAATTGAGAAGGAGTAGGCAAGAGAGAATTAGAAGAAGACAGATGTTAGCCGAACCTATTGTGGTAATCATTTCACAAAATATGTAAATCAAACCATCACGCTGTGTGCCTTAATCTTATACAGTGATGTATGCCAATTATTTCTCAATAAAACTGGAAAAGAGGTGGGGGAAGGAAGGAGGGAGAGGGGGGAGAGAAAGAGAGAGAGTGTGAGAGGGAGAGAGAACCAGGACAGAGAGGGCCTCAAAAACCAAGGAAGAAAATTATTAAAAGAAAAATGGTGGGGTGCCTGGGTGGTGTAGTTGGTTGAGTGTCTGACTCTCGGTTTTGGCTCAGGTCATGATCTGGTGGTTGTGGGATTGAGCCCTGGGTAGGGCTCTGTACTTAGTGTGGAGTCTGCTTCAGATTCATTCTCCCTCTCCCATACCTCTGCCCCTCCCTGCTCACACACGTGTGCGTGCTGTCCCTAAAATGAATAAATAAAATCTTAAAAAAAGAAAAGAAAAATGGAACTATGAGGATACATTCAAATAATCTGTAGTTGGCCAGACTGACAAGGAAAGATTAAAGACTGTCTCATAAATCTTCAAGTACATAGAGCAGTTTATAGAGATGAAAGCTAAATAAATACTTGTTATAATAGGAGAGGGTGTAAGAATTTCAGAACAATAACACTCTGGAGATAGACTAATGAAAGCTGTTTGTGTTTTCTGACTCTGGAAATATTAAGACTAGAGATTTAGCTGTTCAGAAAAGGATGACTGAACACAGAACTCTCAAGAACCCTTCGAGGTCCCTTATTCTAGAATTCAAGGGGTGTGATTGTGTCAGATATTGTTATATCTCATGGATCCATCAAACAGGTACAATATGGATAAGAACCCTATGCTCTGAGGTCGGGTCCTCATTATGGACTGTAAAAGATTAAACATTTACTTCCCTGATATTGTTAGCTAGATAACTGCTAAACATAGGTGATTTTTAAATGCTGTCAGAGTAGAGTGAGGAGTCATCTGCATAATATGTTACTTTGACATGTCGGTTAGTCTCCCCACTTTCTGATGAACATTACATCCACATTTTTCTCAACTGTGTAGTCTCTGCTCTTTTTCATCCCACTTATCCTTTCCTTCTAGCTTATTTTGGGCTGGCTCTCCTGCCTTTTACATAATTCTCAATACTTTTCCTTCATACTATGTGTTTTCTAGTTTTTATGGCCAAAATTTTCTTTTTTAAAAAAATATTTATCTGAGAGAGAGAGAGCATGAAAGAGAAAGAGATCATGAGCAGGGGGAGGGGTAGAGGGAGAAGCAGACTCCCCACTGATCAAGGAGCCTGATGTGGAACTCCATCCCAGGACCCTGCGATCATGACCTGAACCGAAGGCAGATGCTTAACCGACTGAGCCACCCAGGCGCCCTATGGACAAAATTTTCAAGCAGATAATGATCTCATAAAGGTTCAGTCCCTAGAAATCATCATCAGGACCATATATTATGTACTGATATAATTGCCGTGTCTGAAGTACCTTTTGCTTTGAATTTGAAGCAATGAATACAAAACAAATATACACAGTTGAACATTGAACAACACAGGGTTGAACTGTACAGGTCCACTTATACCCAGATTTTTTTTTCAATAAATACAGTACAGTACTTAAAAGTATTTTCTCTTCCTTATGATTTTCTTTATAACATTTTTTTGCTCTAGGTTATTTTATTATAAGAATACAGCATAGAATACATAAACAAAATATGTGTTCATTGGTTGTTTATGTTTCAGTAAGGCTTCTCGTCAACAGTAGGTTATTAGTAGTTAAGTTTGGGGGGGGTCAGAAGTTATATGCAAATTTTCAACTGTATGGGGTCAGTGCCCCTAACCCCTCGTTGTTCAACGGTCAACTGTATATATGTCACCTCTGCTTCCTAATCCCTGATTCCCTTAGCCTGTCTCCATCAGTGCTTTGATATTTATCCCTAAGATGCTCTTCACTTTTTATATTACCACTGATATTTTCCTGGCCAAGTACCATTGTCTTTTGTTTTGTTTTAGTTTCCATTCTTGATGTCTAAGTTATATTTGATGCTTTCTGATATATTTGATGCATCTTGTCTTGAAATCTTCCTCTCCCATTCCATGATGCTTTTACCTCTATCCACCAGTCTTCTCTTTTGGAAAGAGTTACTCTCTTCCCCAATGTCACTCCCACTCTGGCCCTCGTCACCTGAGGCCCTGACTTCTGCTGTAGCCTCTTCTCCCTGTGGTCATTCTCTCCTCTCTACCCTGTTTTACATCACCCTCAGGTGAGTCCCCAGTTTTCACCATTCTTTCATTCATCAGACTGTGATGGAACACCTGTCATGTACAGCACTAAACTATCCTAGGGGGAAATCTCCAAAAGGTTAAGTCCTGCTCCTTCCCTTTGGATGAACTTATAGGCTGGAGTGGCAGGTGCTCTTTGTCAAAATTGTGGAGGACCTTGTAAGCCACAGTAAGGAGTTGGGAGTCCATTGTAAAGCCCAGGGGGTGGCTTGATCAGATTGGGGATTAGAAAGATCACTCTGGCAGTGATGGGGATGATGGGATCTGGACAAGGAAAGTAGCAACAGGGATAAGGAGAAATGGACAGATTTAAGCCATATTTAGGAAACGGAATCAGCAGAATGTAGGGGATGGGAATATTAATTCATTCATTAATATTTCTAATGGTGACACTGGTGATGCTTGCAAAGTAGAGAAATGAACATTGTATACAAAAATATAGATAAGGTTAAAAAAAAACCCGGGCCTTTTAAATAGTTAAGCTCAATTAAGTGGCAATTTCAGTTAAATGCAAAGTTAGGTTACCAAGGTACCTTCTTTTGACTCCTTCTGCCTTCCCTACCCATTGTAGCAATGTTACTTATTTACCAACGTGCCTCTGACCAAACATGCCTTGACTTGATTATTCCCATTTCTCACGGTTACCCCAACATGGAATGTGCCTCGTTGCTGGCAGTCTGTGCCTTTCACTTTCTTCCATGAAGCCTTTTCAGGTGAATCCCTTACAGATTCTCCTTTTCTCTTCGCCCTCTGCTCAGGAATCATGCCTATTGTACAGACTAAGGTACACCGATGTCAGAAAACACTTAGCCCACTGCCTGGCCCATAGTATTTCACAAATGGGAGCTACTAATATTACCCTGATATTGTTTTATTTTCTGACCCCCTGGTACAGGGCCTCACGCACGGTAGGAACTCCGTGTTGGGTAGATGGCATGCCCGTTTTATGTTGATCTGATTATAGATTACAGTGTTAATTATACAATGGCAGAAACAGAACTCTTTCAGAAAATAGGTTCATGTTTGGTCACCGTGTTTTAGGACAGTAGGTGAAACAATCTTCTTTTATTTTTATTTTAACTGCATAAGTAGTTGATCTGTTTCTGATGACGGGAAATTGTTAAATTCTGTAATAGAAGATAGTTCTGGAAGTGAAGTAAAATCAGTGTGGAACCCATCAAGAGCCATTTCTAAGATGTCCATTAGTAGTGAATTCCTTACCATTTGATTTTTCTGCTTTTTAACAGAAAACTGTTTTGGGGGAATCAAGATCCTATTTGCCCTATTGCCCAGATTGCTTTGAAAGCTCAGCTGACCAAAAGACTGGAGGACCTTGCCCATCCCAAAGAAGTCTCCCACCGATATGTACCTAACAGGTTAGTGTTTGTGTGTTACCAGGTTACTTTATCAGGAGTCCCTAGGGAAAATGAACACAGAACCCAGCCCTTTTATCTGAAAGCCATAAATTGTCCAATCTGTAGTAAAAAAATTGTTGAGGATTAAAGATTCTATATATTTCCTAATCTGATGCTGCAGTAAAACTTTTCCAGTGCAAGACTGATATTTAGCTATTGCTAACTTGTATTATATCTTATAATGTTTTGGCTTACTAGGATTTTGAGGTTTTTTTTTTTTAAGATTTTATTTATTTATTAGAGAGAGAGAGAGCAAGTAGGGGGGAGGGGTAGAGGGAGAGGGAAAGAGAGAATCTCAGGTAGACTCATGCTGAGCGCAGGGCCCCACGTGGGGCTCGATCCCATGACTGGAGCCAAAATCAAAAGTTGGCCACTCAAGCCCCGGTCACTCAGGTGCCCCTTGAGTTTTTAATAAAGTGGCAGTATCATGTTGGGATATGTACCATCTATAACATTGTTGTGCATGAACTATTTATGCATGCAACTTCTCATGGATTTTATATGCCAACACGGGCTTAATTACCATGAGTTAATTATTACATGTAGCAGTAAGAATATCATTAAGACTTTTGATACCCATTGCCAATTTGCTTTTAGTGCATGTTTGTTGAATGACTAGACTTTCTGCTGGTTGGTTCTTTGAGGAAAGACTGTGGAGGGGGGAGGGGATGAGCACAAGTAGTGAGGGAGATTAAAGTAACAGGAAAAAGGTGAAGATACCATTATTTATCTGAAGTTTGGTTTCCAAGATAATTGAGGTAGACATTTCTCTAACTCTTTTCGATATACGACTTTAGTCAAAAGTCAGCAAACTTTTTCAGGACGTGGGTAGATAGTAAAGTTGACTACAAAGTCTCCGTTGCAACTACCCAACTCCACTATTGTAGCAGGAAGCAGCCACAGACGTTATGAAAACTGAGCATGCCTGTGTTCCAATAAAAAAACTTTTTGCATCTGTGCTTATGAGGTGTATTAGTCTGGATTTTTCTTATAGTGTCTTTGTGGTAATGTCTTTGTTTCTTGTAATGTCTTTTACTTGTTTTTGGTAATTCTGTCCTCACAGAATCAATTGGAAAATATATAGAATTGGCATTTCTTGTTTATGTATTTTATAGAATCCCCAATGAAGTCATCTGGGTCTGGAGTTTTTTGGTGGGAAGATTTTTTTAAAATTTTTTATTTAAATTCAATTTTATGTATATGTTTATACTGTATTGCTAGTTTCAGAGGTAGAACTTAGTGATTCATCGGTTACATATAACACCCAGTGCTCATTACCTCATGTGCCCTCCTTAACTCCCATCACCCAGTTACTCCATCTCCCCTCCAGCAACCCTCAGTTTGTTTCTTAGAGTTAAGAGTTTCTTACAGTTTGCCTCCCTCTCTGTTTTCCTCTTATTGTATTTTTCCTTCCCTTCCCCTATGTTCTTTGTTTAGTTTCTTAAATTCCACATATGGGTGAAATGATATGGTATTTGCCTTTCTGTGACTGACTTATTTCACTCAGCATAATACCCTCGAGTTCAGGTTTTTAACTATAAATTCAATTTATTTAATAGATATAGGGCTGTTATGAATTTGTCAAAATAATGCTTGTTAAGGGGAGCATGGGGTCACAGTTCAACAATAGACCATAACAGAAATTGAAATAGAGAAGTTTATTACTCACAGATCCTAGAAGTACCTGGCATGCCTTGAGGAGTCACACGTGGAGGTTAAAGCATGGTGCAGAGAGAGGCAGGATCTGGGGTACATGCCTTATTCGGTCTGCAGGTGAAGTGCTTTGGGGTTCCTAGACCAAGGCCAGATTGGTCAATTCAAATAAAAGAGCAGGGTTTTGGTAAGCTTCTTGGGGACTTATATCTAAAGGATGCATAAAGAAAGGAAGGCATTGGGAGTCAGGAGACTGTTGGTCACAGGGCTATTGGCAAAGTCATATCAGGAATGTACATTTACTTATGACTTGGTGGACTGGTATCTAGGGCATGTGCTTATGAGATGGGGGCTAAGGTCAGTTTAAGGTCCCTGGAGGCTGCTTGGTCAAACAAAATGGGTGCTGCGACAGCAAGGCCATGGAATTGCTTTGTAAACTCTTGACAAGGGCTCTTCAGATTATATCTTTCTGAATGAGCATTGGTAGTATGTGTTTCAATGAATTTATGTATTTCACCTAAGTTTTAAAATTTGTTGGCATAAACTTGTTAATATAGTCTTTTATTTCCCTTTTATTATCTGTGCAATCTCTAGTGATTGTCTCTGAGAGACTAAGAAGGTATTTGGTTTTAAAAGAAGCAAATTTTCTCTTTTCGTTAGTTATTTTTTGGTCTATTTAAAAGAACACAATTTATTACAGAAAATAATCATCTGTTTTGGAATGGGATATTAAAAGCCAGCTGGAACTTGATGGCTGCAACCATTTCTGATTTCTCTCCATGTGGAGAATAGCTCACAGTAAAGGAGTAAACTATCATACCTGCTCCTAGGCCTAGAGTTGTGGGTCAGCATTGGAAATTACTGTTATTGGAATTCATGCTCATTTCACTCAGTTCTTTTCTCTTCTGTAACTTCCAGGGCTCAGTATTACTACAGCTGCGGTAGAGAGTCTGTAATCTGGGAGATCCCTTCTCCTGCACTGTTTAACCAACCCTCCAAAAGGATCCAGAAGCTGGCACTGCCCAACAGATTCAAGAAAGAATATCTAATAAAGAGGTAGAGTACCTTGATAATCTCCATAAATCCTAATTTCATTAAACCTCACAATATTTTTATTTTAGTGTATGTAGTTTCATAAACTAAAAGTCCACTTGTGTTTCAAAGGATCAGGGTAAAAACTCAAATGTATGCAGCAATTGTAGGTAATCAGAGGGTCATCACCAGTAATTACATTAGTGGGGTTTTTTATTTGTTTTTTGAGAGAGAGAGAGAGACAGCATGCATGAGCAGGTTGGGGCAGGGCAGAGGGAGAGAGAATGTCAAGCAGGCTCCATGCCCAGCGTGGAGCCTGACTTGGGGCTCAGTCTCACGACCTGAGCTGAAATCAAGAGTCAGACACTTAACCAAATGAGCTACCCAGGCTCCCCACCAGTAATTACATTTGACTCAAATTGTGGTGAAACTAAAATTCACTCTGAATTTACCATTGTCGGCCGATTCAAAGGAAATATGCAAATGAAACATTACAAAATTTTGCAATTTGTAGAACTTGATGTTTCTCTTATGTTTCTATGACTTTTCAAATGTTTTTCCTTTTGCTTTGAATGCTGAATTTCTCCTTGTTTTTAAAAGAACAGCTGAGGTGATACTTCCACATGGGAGCCAAGATTGTGATGGGGTTGTTGGAAAAATGTTAAGTTGCATTAATGGAATATGTATCGTGTACAATCACAGGGAGGTGATAGTACCACAGTATAGTACTTTAGTCAAGACACCTTAAGTGTATGTGTCCACTTGTGGATGTTATACCCTAAGAAACTGATAATAAATTTGAGACTATTCAGAAGGAGCTGAATGAAATGTTGAGGCCTCTGGAAACTATGTTATGTGAAAAATAGTTAAGAGAAATGACATGCTTAGCCTAGAGAAAAGACCAAGGAAGCAATGATAGCTGTGCTCAGGTATTGAAAGGGTCAGTGTCTGAACGAGGAAAAGGAGGAAAAGTAAAATTACTTTGTGTTGATCCTAGAACTAAGTCTAGAACAAGAAATTTACAGAGCAGCAGGCATCAGCTAGGTGTAGGAAAATCTTGCTGACTAGCTCTCCAGTACTGGAAATGTTTATCTGGAAAAGTCAACTGCTGCCTCCACCCCAACCCCTGAAAATGCTTGTTCAAGCACAGGCTGGAATGGTGAGTTTACATGGATTTTAGAAAAGATTCCTGCATTCAGAGAGAAATTGAACTGGACCGCTTGGGTCTTTTTCCATCACAGACTCCACACAAAATTTCTTTGTTTGCTTATTTATCAGTTCATTCAACAAAATCTGCTAATTTAGTTAAAATGTACATATAATCTGAGTTATATAACTATATTCATTTATTTTATATTTTTATATGTCTGTATTTATAATCCAGAGGAATGCTTTGTTAATATGTCACCACTTTTTAAAATTAATTTTTTAAATTTAAATTCAGTTAATTCACATATAGTGTGTTATTAGTTTCAGAGGTAGAGGTTAGTGATTCATCGTCTTATATAACACCCAGTGCTCATTCGATCACGTGCCCTCCTTAATGCCTATCACCCAGTTACCCTGTCCCCCCACCCACCTCCCCTCCAGCAACCCTCAGTTTGTTTCCTATAGTTAAGAGCCTCTTATGGTTTGTCTCCCTCTCTGATTTCATCTTGTTTTATTTTTCCCTCCTTTCCCCTATGATCCTCTGTTTTGTTTCTTAAATTCCACATGAGTGAGATCATATGATAATTGTCTTTCTCTGATTGGCTTATTTCGCTTAGCATAATACCCTCTAGTTCCATCCATGCCATTGCAAATGACAAGATTTCAGCTTTTTGATGGCTGAGTAATATTCCACTGCATATATAAACCACATCTTCTTTATCCATTCATCTGCCGATGGACGACATCTGGGCTCTTTCAATAGTTTGGTCATTGTGGACATTGCTGCTGTAAACATGGTGGTGCAGGTGCCCCTTTGGATCACAATTTGTATCTTTGGGATAAATACCCAGTAGTAATATGTCACCACTTTTTGGGAGACCTGGGGTTGATGTTTCATATAGGTGAAACCCCCTTGAATGTTAAAACTTTCTGTATTTTTAAGTTGTTTCCCCGCTTTCCTAAGCAGACTTCTCAGCTACTAAACATACATGTAACCTTTGTTCATTGGCTTGAATCTTTATTATGAACATCAACTCTTATACTTCAATACTGAAAACCTCCCAGGAGCTGTTTAAGTATGAAGCACAGTTTTTCTTTAGGCTAAGTATTCTGAATTCTATGCTTTTAGATTATTAAATATTTGCTTATAGTTTTCCTGTCTTTTTTTTTTTTTTTTTTTTTTTGTCAGGGGAATGGTCTCTAGGCTCTTTTTTTAAAAATTTAATTTAATTTCAATTCCAGTGTAGTTACCATACAGTGTTATATAAGTTTCAGGTATACAATATAGTGATTCAACAGTTCAATACATTACTCATTGTTCATCAAGATAAGTGTACTCTTAATCTCCATCACCTGTTTCACCCATACCCCACCCACCTCCCCTCTGATAACCATCAGTTTGTTCTCTGTAGTTAAACTTCTGTTTCTTGATTTGCCTCTCTCTTGTTTTTTTTTTACTTTATCATTTGTTTTGTTTCTCAAATTCTGCATATGGGAGAAGTCATATGGTATTTGTCTTTGTCTTTCTCTGACTGGTTTATTTTGCTTAGCATTATACTCTCTAGGTCTATCCATGTTGTTGCAAGTGGCAAGATTTCCTTCTTTTTTATGACTGAATAATATTCCATTGTGTACATATACCACATCTTCTTTATCCATTCCTATACTGATGGACACTTGACTGCTTCCATAATTTTAACTAGCCTCTTTTTTCCCAATTCTGTGCATTAGGAACAGATGACTAAGCTTGTTAGAATTGTGTGAGGGGGGATAAAGCAAGTGTTTAATGAAGACACACAGGGCTCTCCAATAAATGTATTATATGAACTCGGACTTTGTGTCATATATTTTAGCTGATTCACTAGAGGAGCTCAGCAGCAGACTTGAATAATCAGAAGAAAGAATCAGCAAACTTAAGAATAGGTTAATTGAGGCTATCTGAGGAACAGAAAGAAAAAAGAATGAAATAAAATTAACAAAGCCTCATGAACAAGTTGAATTTATCCCAGGAATACAAGAGTATGTTGGAATCAATAGATTACAATCAATATAATACATCAAATTAATAGAATAAGAAAGCCAAAACCATGTGATCACTTCAGTAGACTCAGAAAAATCATTTGACAAAATTCAACACATTTTCACAATAAAAATTCTTAAAAAACTAGGTTCAGAAGGGAATTTCCTCAGCCTGATAAAGGGCATCTACAAAAAACCCACTGCTAACATAATAATTAGTGGTGAAAGACTGAATGCTTTCTCCCTAGGATCAGGAATAAGACAAGGATGTCAGCTCTCCCAACTTTTGTTCAGCATCATACTGGAGATTCTAGTTAGGGCAATTAAGCAAGGAAAAGAAGTAAAAGGCATTCGGGTTGGAAAGGAAAAAGTAAAACTATCTCTATTAGGAAGGCACAGAATCCAAGAGCAATATACAAAAAAACAGTTGTGTATCCATTAGCAATGAGCAATCTGAAAATGAAGGTAGGAAAACAATTCTATTTGCAGTAGTAGCAAAAAGAACATTATAATACATGTAATGCCATATTACTCAGCCCTAAAAAGGAAGAAAATTCTGACACATGCTCCAACATGGATGGACCATGAGGACATTAAGCTAAATGAAATAAGCCAGTCACAAAAAGACAAATACTGTATAATTGCATTTATATGTAGTACCAACTGTAGTTAAATTCGTAAAGAAAAAAGTAGTATGGTGGTTGGCTGGGACTAGAGGGTGGGGGAAATTAATTGTTTAATTGCTGTAGAATTTCACAAGATCAAGAGTTCTGCAGATGGATTACACAACAATGCGAATGCACTTAATACTACTGTACTATACACTTAAGAATGGGTAAGATGGGGGTGCCTTGGTGGCTGAGTTGGTTAAGCACCCAACTCTTGATTTCAGCTCAGGTCATGATCTCATGGGTTGTAAGATCAAGTCCCGTATTGGACTCCATGCTCAGTGGGGAGTCTCTTTGAAGATTCTCTCCCTCTGGCCCCTCTTACTTGTGCTCTCTCTCTTTCTCTCAAATAAATAAATAAATCTTAAAAAAAGAATGGTTAAGATGGTAAATTTTATGTTATATGTATTTTACTAAAATTAAAAATAATAAAAGAACAAAATACTTAACAAAAGAAGTTCAAGGCATGTACACTGAAGACTACAAACATTGTTAAAAGAAATCGAAGACTTAAATAAATGGAAAGACATTTCCTGTTCATGGTTTGGAAATCTTAATTTTGTTATGATGGTAATTCTCTCCAGATTGATATACATATTCAGTGCAATCCCTGTTGATATTCCAGCTGCCATTTTTGATAGAAATTGACAAGGCAATTCTAAAATTCATGTAGAAAAGCAAGGGACCTAGCATAGCGAGAAACAATCTTGAGAAAAACATATTGAAAACTTATTTATTTATTTTTAAAGATTTTTTTCTTTATTTATTAGAGAGAGAGAGAGAGAGAGAGAGAGCATGAGTGGGGGGGGCAGAGGGAGAGAGAGAAGCAGAGTCCCTGCTGAGCAGGGAGCCCAATGTGGGGCACTGTCCCAGGACCCTGGGATCATGACCTAAGGCGAAGGCAGACACTCAACCGACTGAGCCACCCAGGTGCCCCTGAAAACTTATTTAAAAGCTACAGTAGTCAAGACAGCATGTTACTGACATAACAGTAGACATATAAATCTATGGAATAGAACTGAGAGTCCAGAAGTTAATCCTTATATTTATGGTCAATTTATTTTTGACAAGAATGCCAAGACTATTTATTTATTTATTTATTTATTTAATTTTTAAAAAGATTTTATTTATTTATTTGACAGAGACAGTGAGAGAGGGAACACAAGCAGGGGGAGTGGGAGAGGGAGAACCAGGCTTCCCGCTGATAAGGGAGCCTGATGCAGGTCTCGATCCCAGGACCCTGGGATCATTACCTGAGCCGAAGGCAGATGCTTAATGACTGAGCCACCCAGGAGCCCCGCCAAGACAATTTAATTGGGGAAGAATAGTCTTTTAAACAAATAGTGCTGGGATAACTGGACATCCAAATGAAATTGAACCCCTATTTCACACCATACAGAAAAATTAACTTAAAATGGATCACAGGCTGGCTCAGTCAGAAGAACATGTGACTCTTCATCTCGGGGTTGTGAGTTTGAGTCCTACATTGAGTGTGGAGATCACTGAAAAATAAAAAAATCTTCGGGGTGCCTGGATAGCTCAGACAGTTCAGTGTCAGACTCTTGATCTCAGCTCAGGTCTTGATCTAAGGTGGATGTGGAGCCTACTTAAAAAATAATAATAATAAAATAAAAAATTTAAAAATCTTTAAAAAAAAGAAAATGGATCACAGACCTATAAATATAAGAAATAAAATTATAAAAACGCTTAGAAAAAAGCAAACATCAATCTCTGTGACTTAGGCAATGGTTTCTTAGATATGACAATAAAAACACATGGCAAAAAATAAATTGGATTTCATCAAAAGTAAAAACTTTTGTGCATCAAAGGACACTTTCAAGAAAGTAAAAAGACAACCCACAAATTGGGAGAAAATATTTGAAAATCATATATCTGATAAGGGAATAGTATTCAGAATATATATATATATAATTTTTAGAACTATATAAAAAAGTCAACACAATTTAGAAAATGGGCAAATTATTTGAATAGACATTTCTCCAAAGAAGACATACAGATGAACAGGAAACACATATGAAGATGCCAAATATCATTAGTCGTCTTCGAAATACACATTAAAATGACAAGATACTACTTCAAACCTTCTAGAATGGCAATAATAATAATAATAATAATAATAGAAAATAATATGTATTGGTGAGGATGTGGAGAAATTGAAACCCTCATAATTGCTGGTTAGAATGCAAAATGGTGCAGCTTAATTGGAAAACCACTTTCTAGCTCCTCAAAATGTTAAGAATAGAGTTATATGATCAGTATTCTATTTCTAGGCATGTACCCAAGAGAATTAAAAATTTATGCTCACACAAAAACTTGTACATGAATATTCATAGCAGCATTTCATCATTGCCAGAAAGTGGAAACACACTCTAATATTTGTCATGGATGAATGGTTAAACAAAATGTGGTAAATCATTTAATGGAATATTATTCAGCCATAAAAAAGAATGATGTACTGCTACATGAATCTTGAAAATATGCTAAGTGAAGGAAGCCCGATACAAAAGGCTACATATGTATGATTCCATTTATTTGAAATTTCTAAAATAGGCAAAGCCATAGAAACAAAATAGATAGTGGTTCTGGGGGCACAGGGTTGGGGAATGAAGTAATAGAGAGGGACTATTAATCAGTATGGGGTTTTTCTTTGGGGTGATGAAAACATTCTGAATTTAGATAGTGACAGTAGTTATATAACTTTGTGAATATGCTAGAAACCCCTGAATTGTACACTTTAAAAAGGTAAACTCTATGGTATGTTAATTGTGTATCAGTTTTAAAAACTAACAGACTACCCTTAGTGGGTAATCATATATTTATTTGTGAAAAACTTTTTTCATATTAGGTTTGTAGGTTTGTGGTTGGTAGGTTTTTGTACCAGGAAAGGAATATGTGGGGAACAGCCTATGAAAATTGGCCAAGTTGCTGGGAGTTATGAGCAGCACCATCTCAAACTGCACTACAGAGGAGACTGGCTATCACAGAGGGGTCCTTGGTAGTGACTGGAATTTTTTATCTCAGGGATTTAATATGATGTTTTGGTAGGAAGTGGAGTTTAAATTGCAAGCCTCAGCCCATCAGTGGATCATGAAATTGATTCGAGTTTTTTTTTAATGAAATCAAATGAAATTTTAAAAATCAAAATACCTTGCTCAGGGCAAGCATTCTTTCATAATAATTTTGTTTCAGATACATGCGTGTATGCATGTGCATGCACACACACACACACACACACACACAGATTTACATATACTGCATCACAATATAACTTCTTACTGTGGATCATAGTAAAAAAAACTTTAGGAAATACCAATCTGGTAGAAAAAAACACTAATGATTATGGGAAAAGAAGTTTCTGAGATAGGGAAAATTATACATAATTGATCAGAGGCTGAGTACAGCAATGAAAAAATGCAATTATTTTTCCTCCAATGATTATAATATTTCATGTTCCATTTGCATATAGGCCTTACAGTGATTACTTAACAAGAGATTCTCTTCAAATCTCTTATCCTTCTGCCCGGATATTACGACTCTCAATACCCAAAGCCACAAATCCAAACTACGTTCCTCCAAAAAGGGTAAGTCCATCTGAAAGAAACGGTTCCTGATTGATTTTAACAACACGTTTATAACTGTAACATGCTCTCCTCTTATTTCCAGGTATATTTTACTTTTCTCCCTGTTTATCTTCCCCCCTCATCAAATGAACTTTTCTGACTACCTCCGCTATGCCTACTCTGTCACCTAGGATTTGATCAGAGAAGCAGAACAACAATGCAGAATTAGACCTTAAGCAATTATAGAAGCTGATAGAGAAGTCCATGGAAGGCTGTTTTGGCAGTTGGAACTTGGGTCTGGTTATAAATCCCGAAGCAATGACAGATAGTAGGGATAGGTCAGCAGTTACCTGGAAGGTATCTACCTCAGGGGAAACTATTACAGGTTCTTCAGGCAAGGGGACTCTAACCCCTTCAGGCAGGGGAAGTATGGCTGATTTTATTGGTAAGGAAGGCTCATCAGTATTTAGGGGCTTAAAGTCCCCAGCTTTGTTGGAATCTGCCCATATACCCTATCCCAATTTTCAAGGTCCTATTCCTTCCCAGTCGTTGCTCTAACTTTAACATAGGAGACCATACAAATTTGGTAATTCAATTTGCACTGTAATTAACCCACTCACAGAATTCGATTGTGAGTTTGGTTTTCAGAATTTTCAGCCCTACGACCATAGAATATAAAGCTTTCTTTTAGGGAAGTTACAGAAACTTTCTGGTCCCTTAACCCAGACATTAAGGTGGGAACTTAGAGGCCCGAGCCAGTCATTTCTTAACTTACTTCCTCTGTGCACTTAGCGACAACCAGCTAGGGACGCCTGGGTGGCTCAGTTGGCTAAGCATCTGCCTTCAGCTCAGGTCATGATCCCGGGGTCCTGGGATTGAGTCCCACATCAGGCTCCCTGCTCGGTGGAGAGCCTGCTTCTCCCTCTGCCTGCTGCTCCCCCTGCTTGTGCTCTTTCTTTCTCTGACAAATAAATAAATAAATAAAATCTTAAATAAAAGAAAAACAACCAACTAATCCCATTATACTTGTTTATTTCACTAAAATAATTTCTGGCAGCAGCTGCTTGGTCACCCAAAGTTTTGCTTTTTGTTTTGCCACTGCGTGCTATGGACTACCAGTAATTTTTTTTTTTTTTTTAACTACTGGCAAAAGGATCATTAATACCTTTAAATCCAATCAGCTCAGAAAACAAATTCCAGATAATCTAGAATCAACACAGAGAACCAATTCTTAAAGTTGTGATTTGGTTATCTGTTGCTTCCTACCAAAGCACCCCCAAACTTATTGGTGTAAAACAACAAGCATTTTATTACGCTCAAGGATTTTGTGAGTTAGAAATCTCTCAGCTGGGATATCTCTAATGGCTTGGTTGTCTGAAATGGTAGGGGGCTGAATGTTCCTACACACCTACCTTAGTCAGCTAGGGCTGCTATAACAAAATACCAAAGACTGGGTGGCTTGAAAGACATTTATTTCTCACAGTTCTGGGGACCAAGAAATCCAAGATCAAGGTGCCACCAGATTCTCTTCTTGATGAAGATCCTATTCCTGGTTTGCAGCCAACCACTACCTTCCTGTGTGCTCACATGACTTCTTTGTGTGTGCACAGAGAAAGAGCTCTTATCTCTCTTCTTATAAGGACACCAATCCCACAATGAGGGTTCTACCCTCATGACCTCACCTAAACCTAATTACCTCCCAAAGGCCTCACCTCCTACTATTATCACATTGAGGATTAGGACTTCAACGTATGAATTTGAGGGGGACATAGTCTGTCCATAACAACATCTATATGGTGCCCAGGCCGATGTGACTTAAAGGCTAGACTCAGTTGGGAATATTCACAGGAGCACTTTCATGGGGCCTCTCCATGTGGCTGAGACTTTTCTCAGCATAGCAGCTGTATTCTGAGAAGGAATATTCTAAAATGGAGTGTTTCAAGGGTGAGCATTCCAAAACACCAGTGGCAGCTGCATGTTTTTTTATGATTTGGCCCTGGAAGTCACATAATGTCACTGCAGTCATACTCTGTTGATTGATACAGTTCCAAGTCGCCAGATTCAAGGGGGCAGGGACACAAACCCCACCTGTCAATGAGAGAAGTGGCAAAGAATTTATAGCCACTCAAGAAAAAAACCTTGGTATCCTTGAGCATGATTTTGTATACAGAAAAGACTGTTCAGAGGTATGCTCTTGATTTAAATAATTAATAGTCCAAAAGAAGAAGATAGCAGGAGGGGAAGAATGAAGGGGTAGGGATCGGAGGGGGAGAGGAACCATGAGAGACTATGGACTCTGAAAAACAAACTGAGGGTTCTAGACTAGGGGAGGAGGGTAGGGGGATGGGTTAGCCTGGTGATGGGTATTAAAGAGGGCACATTCTGCATGGAGCACGGGGTGTTATATGCAAACAATGAATCATGGAACACTACATCAAAAACTAATGATGTAATGTATGGTGATTAACATAATAAAAATAAATAAATAAAACTTTAAATTAAAAATCTGTTTCTTAGGCTTTTACATTTAGCTTGCAAGTTTTATTACTCTGTTTATAATTCTAGCAGTTTTTAACAATGACTTTGAAGAGTTCTGAATAATGTTTGATTTGGTTTCTAAATGTAATCAAATACCTTCAAATAATTTAAATTATATTTATTAATATTTTAATTTGATTTCTTTTTTAAGCATTTTCCTCCAACCATCTACATTAACAAACAAAATTTCAAATATTAAATAACTATTTAAAAATTGAATACATCAAATTTATAAATATGGTGACCTTAAAGTTTCAATGTTATCAGAATGACATAAACTTAAGATTTCAACTTAATGTTACAATTCTAAGTCAAATACTCAATTATACGTTTCAAGTTGCAGTTATAGGGTGATCACTCTAATAGGCCAAATTCTCTTAAACATGGACACGCTTTTATTTTGTTTTGTTATGTTTTGTTTTTAGTAAGCTCTACACCCAATGTGGGGCTCAGACTCATGACCCCAAGATCAAGAGTCACATGCTCCAACTGACTGAGCCAGCCAGGTGCCCTCATGCACATGCTTTTAATTTTAATAATATACACATACTTTTTATTTTAATAATTTCTAAGTTACTGAAAAAAATGCAAGAATTAACATTTTATTCCATTTGTTTTTTCATTCTCTCTCCTTCATGTAGGGTGTGTGTATGTGTGTGTGTATGTGTGTATTTAATTTTTTTCCTGAATCATTTTTGAGAGGTACAGACATCATACACCCATTTTCCTAAATACTTCAGTGTGTATTTCTTAAGAACAAGATCATCATCTTATGTAACCACAGAATTATTATCAAAATCAGGAAGTTTAATTGATAAATACTCTACTCCATGGTCCATGTCCAAATTTCATCAATTGTTGCACTACTTATTCTTTTTTTTTAAGATTTATTTATTTTTTTGAGGCAGAGAGAGAGAGCAGGGGGAAGGGGCAGAGGAAGAGGGAGAGAGAGAATCTCAAGCAGACTTCCCACAGAATGCAGAGCTCAACACAGAGCTCCATCTCACAACCCCAAGATCATGACCTGAGCTAAAATCAAGAGTCTGACGCTTGACAAACTGAGCCACCCAGGTGCCGCATTGCACATACTTATTCTTAACACAAAGAATGATTAATTCTATGATTTTGATTCTCTTAACTTTTTTACAGTTAATGCTGAATCTTCCCAGAGTTTTAAAATACGCATTCCCACAAAGGAAGCCAAGTTACTGTCACAGGTACCTTAGGTTACTTGTCACCAGAGACTTTGGATGGATGAACTGTAGAAGGTCTTTTTTTTTTTTTTTAATTTTATTTATTTATTTGAGAGACAGAGTTCGAGAGAGAGAGCATGAGCAAGAGGGAGGGAGAAGCAGGCTCCCTGCTCAGGGAGCCCGACGTGGGGCTTGATCCCAGGACCCCAGGATCATGACCTGAGCAGAAGGCAGATGCTTAACTGACTGAGCTACCCAGGCGCCCCTGTAGAAGGTCTTTTACCTCTGTGAATGTCATACTGAGTCTTTTTTTATGGTAACTTTGTCAGAGACTACAAAACATAAAAAGGGTTGGTTTCATAACTCAGTTCATATCCATCATTCTCTCTACTTATAGATGTCCGAAGCTCCTATTCAGACTAATCAACCTGTGTAGATTTTTAAAATCGTTGACTCAGGAGATTTTGACTTTGAAGACTCTTATTTTATATTTAGCAGATACCTTTGAGTATTGACCACCTGTACTCTGCATATCTCACATGGCTTTGTCTAACTAATTTATAAGGTCATTTTACCAACATGTGCCTCCTCCATCATTTTCAATCTGATTATTTTCTGAGAACAAAAATTTGAGAAGTAAAGTTACCAGATTAAGTGTATGAACATTTTTGAGGTGATTCATATATTATCTCAAGATGTGTTCCAACAAAAGTGATTTTGATTTACATATTCACTTGCATTATTTGGGCTGACTTTTATACTGCACTCTTGCCAACATTAGATATTATTTATTTTAATTTTAAAAAATGCTATCTCGTTAATAAAAACACTTTCATTTTTCTGATTACTAATAAATTTAATAGTTCCCAACATTTATTTACCTGTGTAGTTTTCTTTTGTAAACTTGTCTATTCATGGCTTTATTTTTCTACTGGTCTGTATATTTTTTATTGATTCATAACAGTTCTTTACATATTAGAGGTATTCTTTGTCATATGTCTATGTATTTTTCCCAGCTTGTATTTTGAAATTCTGGAGTTATAATTTATATAAAATGCATAGGTCTTAAATGTATAGTTTAATGAGCTTTTAACAAATGTATATATCCATTCAATAACCACTTCAATCAATATACAAAACATTATCCCCCAAATTTTCCTCCTGTTTCTAGTCAATTCCACTCTACCCCTGCCCTAGAGTCAACCACTTCCAGATTCCTATCACTATAGATTAGTTGTATTTCTTATTCTTTGTAGGTTTATATCAGATTTATATTATTTCTTCCTCTTAAATATTTGATAGAATTTACTATTGAAGCAATCTGGGCTTAGTGTCTGTACAATTCCATGAAGTACTAATTAATCATTTCCAATAAATAAAGCTTTGTCTCCTATCAGACTCTGGGAAAATCAAAGAAATATATGACAACCGCTGTTTTCAATTAAGGCTTATAATCAAAAAAGGAAATAAATCACTCATTTACTCAATCCATTGAACAAGTATTTCTTAATCAATTATATAATACAGGAAAAACAAGAATAATAAAACCATTCCTTTCCTTAAAGTAAATTTCAATTTAGAAGAAACCGTAGACCTATAGGTAAATAATTAAGATTGATACTCATAAAAGAGAATGAATAAAGTATTGAGAGATATCAGAGGAAGAGTGGGAAAATCCAAGAAAGATTCTCTTATCATGGAATTGTGGAGACAGATAGGATCTTAGGTTTGAATCCCAGCTGTGCAACCTATTCACTATAAAAACTTAAGTAAATTTCTGAACTTCACATAGTACCTTAGTTTCTCCATGAGTGAAATGCAAATAAAAATGATACCCTAGGTGAGGAATAAATGAATTAGTACATGTAAAACACTGTCAGTATCGTCATTGTCTTAAACAACACAAAAAGGGATTTGCAACATACCTTCTATATTATTTTTCTGCCCACAGTTAAAACCTTATTTTATTTCCAATTATCGATTATATTCCCTCTCAAAGTCTTGTGGTAAGTTTTGAGTTTGAATACTAGTAATTGAAATAGAAGACCATGTAAATTGAACACATTTCCACAATTCAGATAGTGAGAAATGACTAGGGGGACTAACAGCATTGTCTGTGGAGAATGTGATTCTGCCTTTCTTCCTCTTGCCTTTGGTTTCTTTTTCTTACCTGTTCCAATTAGAAGAGAACCACTTGAATGCATTTTAAGTATGGGGATTTGTGATAACGAGAGTCCCAGTTTCCAAAGGGCAAAAGCAGTTAAGAACAAAGCAGAACTCCCCCCCCTTAGAGAGTGTTCTCATGTAGTGGGCCTGACCCTTCCCTCTTGGCTGAGTTTTTCATTCCACAAATCAGCATTACCATTTATCTCTTAGTCAATATGTAAGGTTGCCAATTCCTCCCCATCTTTAGTTTAACAGTAAGTTCCTGAAAAGCTGGGTTGGATTTCATAAACCTAGTTTGAGAAAGATGGAAATTGATCGTTTCAGCTATGATCATGGGTTACTGCAAGACTCTCATCCTTTCTGCTGGATTTGCTGAGAAGTCTGGTCCAGAGGTCAGACAGTTCTTTGTAACCGTGATGGAGATGGTATTTATTATTTGACACTTACAGACCCTATTTTGTTTTTCTCCCCTAGATTGAAACCAAGATTTCAATTCCTGCCCTGACTGCTGTTGCAACTCCAAGAACTGTAGACCTTGCCCATCCAAGGATCAAGATAGAGGGTCTGTGCTTTGAAAGAGAACGAAGTGAGCTGCCCATCCGTCCTGTAAGCCACCACTGCCTTGGCATCCTTCATCTTACTTTTTGGTTGTTCCTAGGGTGCTATTTTGCTACTACAGGGCGTAGGCCAAAGTCATTGGGAAAGATAATCTTGAAAGAGTGGTCTATGGCAGGAAGGAAGACCTAGCTGCAAGATATGTAGAGAGACTGGGGATAGAGGGCAAAGAGCATGGGCTTTGGAATCAGTAAGAGCTGGGTTCAAATTCCAGCCTCACCACTAGCTCTGTGATGTTGTGACAGTGTTCCTGAGCCTTATTTATTCATTCAAGTATTTGAATGCCTACTGTGTGCCAGCCACCATTCCCAGTGAACAAGATGGAGAGAGACAAAAAATAAGGGTCGAAGGCAATGAAGAAAATAAAATAGGAAATGATTGACTATGGGCGAAGGTGGGGAATAAGCTACTTTGTATATGGTAGTCAGGGAAAGGCTCTCTAAGGTTGGGATATCTGGTGTGAAACCTGAGTGACAAGAAGGAGTAAGCTAGGTGAAGGTCTGAGGAAAGAATATTCTAGTAAAGGGAAGAGAATGTGCCAGAGTATTAAAGTGGGGATGACCTTGAAGTTGGGTGGAACAAGGTGAGCAAAGAGATTATAAAGTTAACAGTTCTCACTGGGAGGTCTGTTGTGATTTGAAACAATAGAGAAGGCATTGGTACTCAGCATAGAGCCTCGCACATTCAGTGGCTTCCCTCCCTCTTCCTCCTTGACACTCCCATCTATTCATTATAGTGGCAACTTGGTGCCTAATACCCACTGAGTTTTCAGTAAATATCTAATGACCATGTTGCCAAGGAGGTTGGATAAATTTTACCCTCTAAGAACTAAGGATATGATATGGAATTCGGTTAGGAAAGAAAACTAACCTGGGATTCAAAACCCCTCAGGAAATCGTCTTGAGTTTGCTAAAGTGACTTGCCTTGTGACCCTTGGACAAATCACTTTATTTTCAGTTTTTTGGTATATAAAATGGGGGTTACAGTTATTTTTCTTTAGTTGCCAGGTTTGTTTGGGAGTTTATGAAAAAATCTTTTTTTAAAAGTGATACCACTGCAGATAATCATACTCTTAGAACCCCAAACAAGTCCGTACCAGTGCAAAATAGTACCTTCAGGGCTACGGAGGGGTGTTTGTTATCCATCGTGATTCTTTCAAGTGAGCATTTAAGAGAGAGAGAATAGGAGCTATATGTCATCCTTCCAATTTTACCAATAAAGCAACATAATAGAAAGGCAACCTGGCAGGTGCGATTTTCAAAGTAAGACCAGCAGGAGTTGGTCAATCAGTCAATCAACATATATTCTGCACCAGTTATGCATTTACTCTAGTTTTTGGCAAACATGTATTTCTTTCAAGAAGTTTATATTCTAGTGGGGAGAAGCAGACAATAAACATACGAACAAAGAGATAAGTGAGCAAAGTGAGGTGTTGGTAGATGCTTTAAAGAAGATTGAATAAGTGTACTGTAGAGGAGGGTTATCAGAAAGGTTGATGTATCTCGGATGGTGAAGGAAGATGTCCTTGAGAATGTGATATTTGAGTCTAGAGACTTGAATGATGAAGAGGCAGCCATGACAAAGTTGAGGAAAGAGGCTTTCAAGCAGAAGAACTAGCTGCAAAAATCCTAAGGTGGAAAGAGCTGGATCAGAGGGGATTTGTGTGGCAAGGATCATGGTGATCAAGGTGGGGAGGGGAGGCAGATGAGGTCAGAGCAATGGGATAGCAATCAGATCACGTAGGGCCTTCTAGGCCACAGTAAGGAGTCTAAATATTATTCATTGCAAAATGAGAAACCGCTGGAAGGTTTTAAACCCTGAGAGTGACATAATCTGACTTGGGCTTCAGAAAGTACATACCTCGGGTGCCTGGGTGGCTCAGTTGGTTAAGCGACTGCCTTCAGCTCAGGTCATGATCCTGGAGTCCCAGGATCGAGTCCCACATCGGGCTCCCTGCTCGGCGGGGAGCCTGCCTCTCCCTCTGACCCTCCCCCCTCTTATGTGCTCTTTCTCTCTCTCTCTCATTCTCACTCTCTCAAATAAATAAATAAAATCTTTAAAAAAAAAAAAAGAAACTACATACCTCATAGGGTTATTATGATGATTAAGTGGGAATAATGTAGGTGTCCCACTTAGAACACTGTCTGGCTCATGGCATGCACTCATTAAATGCTCATTCTCTTCCTCAGTAATTGATATGTGAAGGCTAGATCGTACAGAGCAAAAATGGAAGCAGGGAGACTAGTGAGGAGTCTGCTGCAGTAATCCAGGAGAGAATTCTGGACGGTGATTCAGTTAGGGCCATCACTGTAAAGAGAGGGAAATGTGAAAATTGGGATATATTTTTGTATCTTTTTGCTTCCACTATAGATATCCCGTGCTGCCTTGCTATACAAACCTAGCCCTCGAATAATAGCTCTAGCTAAGGCCAGGCCTCTTCATCAAGATTATCTTCCTGACCGTGATGCCCACTGGCCGGTATCTTATGCTGCTATCCATTGCAAAATATCTCCCAGAATTCAAGAACTAGCTAATCCAACAAGGTATGTCAATTTATCGCTAAGATGGGACAGGAAAGCTGGGGGTGCTAGGGAAAGGGAAAATTAACCTAATAAGACCAATGAAAATAATCATAGAAATACAAGAAATTTTCAAAAACATCTCACTTCTTACATTAATTGTGACAAATCTATGGTTTTACCATAAATATAAGGCAGCAGTTAAAGGATTAGTGGACTAGTATTGAAACTTAGATATAGGAAACAACTCTGTAAGGATGGATATGGGATTATTTATCTAACGTATTGTTAAGTGAAACAAGTACATAACAGAGCACACAATGCTAAGAATACTCTAAGAAAATAGGTATGTGCCATATTTTTGCTTGCAGGAGCCTATAATCTCAGAAGAGTATGCAAGAAGCTAGTAACAGTGCTTACTTTTCGGGGGCCCGAGGGAACTGGGATGGGAGGAAGATTTATTTTTTATTAAATAGGGCTTTTGTGTTTTTCCATGTTTTTGTATCATGTACATGTATGACCTACTTGAAATAAATATACATTCAACAAAGAAGAAATGGACTCTAATTCCTGTTTACTTTTTAGAAGATTTCTTAACTTGCCTGAACCTCAGTTCATATTATTTCCTTCATGAGATAATGCCTGATTCCCCTTTTAAGCATCGTCAGGAAAACCTAGGAGAAGATGAAAAAGTCACGGAAGTCTTCAGCTCAGGGAACAGGGAATATGTTCATTCTTAAATAATATTTTTAAATTTTTATAATGTGTTTTGCCTTTAAAAGAAATAAAGTTCAACAGCAATGAAACGAAGCTCATTCTCTGTTCACTGACAAAGGAAAGGGAAAAATAAGATCAAGTACTCAGGGTCTACCCCAGTGGCAAAGTTATTATTTGGTGGTAAGGTGCTAAGGGTGGGAACTTCAAAAATTTGATTTAAGTCCACCAGAGGACTGCTGGGCTTGTTTTAACATTGCCCAATTATTGAAAACTTTCCAGAATTAACTTTCTGTGGAAAGAGCCAAGGCTTTGGAATCTGATAGATACATGAATCTGGATTTGACCACAGGTCACTTTTATAACTTCCCTGAGCCTTCATGTCCTTCTCTGTACAATGGGGGTCATGACACCTGTTTCATGGGGCACTTATGAAAAATCAAAACAGAATAATATCATAGAGCCTAACACACATAGTGGATGGTTGAGAAATGTTAGTTCCATTTTCTGTTCATTTTTTTTCAGGTCGCATTCTTTTTCCCCCATTTCAGGTCTCCTGTACACATTATATATTATGATCCAGATGTCTTTAAAGTCAAGCCAGCTGCTTTGAAAACACAGTGTTCTCCAAGGATCCACGAGTTGGCAGAACCTCTTGTGCATTAAATACAGAAAGCCCCTTCTAGTTATGTGTCTAGAAAACATAATAGGTGACTTAGTTCCCTACTCTGGTCCCATCACCTTGTGTTCCTGTATCCCCCCGAAAACCATAGAGACCCCCAGGGAACACCACTGTGACCATCGAATGGCAATTCCTGCTATTATCCGTAGTCATGTCTTTAGCAGATTTGGAGACTGGAGCACGCAATAAAAGAGAAACTGAGAGCCTGCCTTAGCCTTACTTTATCTCTTCACAAGCATCTTGGCCATCTCATTGCTCTGACTGACCTGAAGAAACACTTCCTTATGTTTGCTGGGTTTGTTTTTCTTTTCCTGGAGAGATCCATATTCCCCAGGCTCTGCTCAGTCCCTGCTCTAATAAGTCCTGGAAATTGAAATAATTCTTTGTGTTGCTTTTCCAACCTCCCTTCCTTAATGGAGAAGTAACACTGAAATGGCAAAGCCTTTTGGGATAACTTGAAATGCATTTCATAATCTGTAGATGAAATTTAGGGAACAGGTTACCTTAAATAATCACCCCTGCCCCAATCTCTGTTCCTTCTCTCAGGCTGCGTCATTTATCAGGAATGACAGAAAAAGCAAGGTATTTGGTAAGCATTATAATTCTGTCAAATTACATCTGCCCAGAGTTTTTTTTTTAATTTAATTGTTTTATTCTCTCCATGGATCAGTATCTTAAAAATGAAACTAAGTTTCATGACATATCTAGATTTACGTGAAAATGAATTTATCTGAAAACAATTTTACAGATGGATGAGTTCTTTGTGTTAAGGAAATAGTGTTATGGAGAAGCAATATGATACAGTTTTTAACTTGCATTTTGGAATCAGGCAGACCTGGCTTAGTCTCCCGCATGGATCGTTTATGCCAGGTATGTGATCTTGAACAAATTTCCTACCCCCCCATGCCTGTTTCTTTATGTGTAAAATGGGTTCTGCTGCATTATTATAAAGATTAAATAAGAAAATTATGGGGGCGCCTGAGTGGCTCAGTCAGTTAAGTGTCCAACTTGTGATTTCGGCTCAGGTCATGATCTCAGGGTTGTGAGATCAAGCCCCTCATCCAGCTCTGTGCTCAGTGGGGAGTCTGCTGCTTTCCCTCCCTCTGCCCCTCCCCCTACTTGCACTCCCTCTCTCTAAAATAAATAAATCTTTTTTAAAAAATTATGTAAAAAAGTATGAATTGGGAAAAAATTGTTTACAAATTTAGTTCCTTTGGTCTTCTAAGAGGGGAGTGGCATAGTTCATATCAATGGGAAAATAAATATCTTTATGGCTTGATTGATATATTGAATGAATGTTTGTTGAGTGTCTTTGCTTTGCCAGGCACTGTGACAGGCATTGGAGATAATCACACTAACCCCAACAGATGTGGGCTCTGCTTTCATGGACTTTTTAGCCAATTGGGAGAGATGGATGTACAAATATTCACGAATGTAAAATTACAGCAGTGGCAAAGTGCCATGGCAGAGAGGTTATAATGCTATGAAATAACAGAATAGAGAACTCTGACTCCCTTGGGAGGGCAAAGGAAGACTTCTTTAATGAAGGGACAATTGGGCTGGAATCTAAACATTGAGTAAGGTTAACTAACCAAGTAGGGGATGGGAAGTCAGTCCAGGTAGTGAGAACATGTGTTTAGTGGACATTTGTTGATTTGTGGGCCATCCTACATCTGTTTCTCCTCCTTCTGGTAAGAACTCCCAATTTTCTTTTGGAGAATTACTTTGTCTTCATTGTTTAAAGCTTTACTGGTACTTTTTTAAAAAAAATATTTACTTTGAGAGAGAGAGAGAGAGCACACAAGCAGGGGATAAGGGGCAGAGGGAGAAGGAGGAGAAGACACCCCACTGAGCAGGGAGCCCAAAGCAGGGCTCAGTTCCAGGACCCTGAGATCATGACCTGAGCCAAATGCAGACACTCAACTGACGGAGCCAGTCCGGTGCCCCTGGGCTTTGGATCTTACATAGAGTGGTGCAAGGGGTGGGGGGTATGGTCGGAGCTGATATTTCCCAGTAGTGGTGCCCTGATGAGACTTCATTTTGCTCCTACCCCCTGTGTCCCTGGAGCTACCCTGACCCTTCACCTATTCCTTTGACTCAGGAGCTGCCCACAGCCTTCTAATAAATCCCCTGTGGCAGGTGGGCAGATGTATTGGGGACTGAAAGAAAGCCAGTTTCACTCCAACAGAGGTAAAACGGGGTTACATGATGCAAGAGGAGCAGAAGGATGAAGCCAGAACATGCAGGGCCCTGGAGGCCATGTTGAAGACTTTAATTTTTATCCTAAAACCTGTGAGAGTTGTTGAAGTAAGCACAGGGATAATGTAATCAGGGTTGCTTTTTGAAAAAACCTCCTTGGACAAAAAAACTGGGGAGGAGACAGTAGAAGTAGGTAGACCAGGTTAGGAGGCTATTTAGTAGATCGGATGAAAGATGAAAGTAGTTTGGTGGTACCGTAGTAGAGATGGAAAGAAGTGACAAACTTGAGAGAGATTTGAGGAAGTGAATTTTTATAGGATTTGATGATGGGTTGGATATGGTGTGGGAAAGAGGGAAGCATTTAAGATAATTCCTGGATTTCTAAACTTTGAAATAAGATAGAAGTGTCTTAATATACAAATGGACAGTGGCCTGGTCATAAATGACAATAGAACTCTGACTTACAACCTGTGCAGCAACCACCAGATCAGGAATCTAAACTACAACCTCTGTAGCAATTAGCCCAGAAGGGTCAGGATCTGGTCAATGGTCCTTACTGGTGCCTATTTTTGGCCCCACTTCCAAGTCAGGGCCAACCAGAGAGAGCCAAATATACTCCCTAAGCCAGTCACACAGGATGCCCTATTTCTAGTTAGCTCATCTCCAACTTCCCCACGCCAGCAGCCTTTAATCAGAGCATACCCAAAGACTCCTCCGGTCCCCTCTAAAGCTTTAACACTCCTCTGCCTTTGAATCTCTGCCAAATGCAAGTGATGATGGCTGACTCACAATAGCAAGTTCTAAATAAATAGCTTGGTGTGTCTTCATTTGGGTAATCTTTATTTCCACAATTTATCCGTTCACTGGGAGAGGACCAGAGGAGGAAAGTAGAAAAGCATGTGTTTAGTTCTGGAACTTAGATTAGAGGATGCCTTTGAGACGCTTTGGGCTCAAAGTAGATGCCAGGTGCAGGGCTATCTTATGACTTGCATGTCCCCTAGGCATTTTGCCTTTCTTGGTTCTTCCTTAAAATAATATGAAAAATTATATTTTATGACTGCATTGGTATGAAGATGGACATATTAATATTATATATTAAAAATATTTTTTACTGAAAGTTTCTTTTTCCCTTCTCATTTAAAACTACATTTTTGTGAGCTCCTAAAAATACTATGAGCTATAGGCATTGGGCCTACTGTGCCTATCTGAGGAGGTCGTGGCCTATGGCCTCCCTTGGCAGCAGAGACATACCACAGGCAGTAAGGAGAGGGAGCCTGAAGATACATGTTCTTTCATAACTTGTGTTGGTTTTTCTTTTCCCTCTGGGAGGGGCTGCCAGATGGGAAACTTCCCCACCCATAGCAGCATGCATCTGCCTGCCAGCTCTCTGTTGCCAAGGTGTGGTCAGCTAGAACTTCCAGGACGTTGAGCATCCTGGGCCGGATTGCAAGACAGGGCAGGCATAAGACTGGGGACAGAGAAAGGTGGCTGTGTGCAGTAAGGGAGCAGAAAGAAGCAGTTTGTTTTCAGTGTGAAGCGGTGGGCAAAGTCACCCCAGGCTAGGGTCACAATGGTGGTGGTCAGGCAGCCACTCTGGAAAGTGGCTGTGGCTCAGGCAGGTGGACATCAAAGGAAAACAGTAACAGACCCCAGGTAACACACCTCTTTTTGTTTAACAATTTACGCAGGTGGGCGTGCCTCGGGGTTTAGAGAGTTGGAAAGCACCACATTACTGCCTTCAGCAAGCTTAAAGCATAGCCTAGCTCGGGAAGCCATTTTGAGTTCCGAGATCATCACCACATGGTTGACGATTGGTGGAGAAAGAATAAGTGACTTTATTGTATGATTTCAAATATACAGGGAGGAAATGGAGACTTGTGGCTGGATGTGTACTTTCTGGAAGAAGAATGCAGGATTTCAACCCTGGACCCACCACTCACTAGCTCCGTGTCTTCAGATAAATTAACCAACCTTTCTGGGCCTCAATTTCCTCACTTGTAAAATGGCAGTAAGAATAGTACTGTCACATGTTTTCCCTCAAAGCACCACCAAAGAGCTTGTGAATGAGGCAAAGTTGAGTTTATAGCTTACTAAGATAAGGGAGATCTGTACCTTCATAGAATGTTAGCCACATCTGGTAAGGAAAGGGCAGTGGCGAGGTATTTATGAGTTTGGGATCAGTTAGGATTGGGCATGGATTGATAGAGATAGCAAGGCAATAGTTTCTGAAGGAGTCTTTGAGAATTAATGAGACCAGTGAAATACTTTCAGGTCAATAACAAAAGTTATTTGCAACTTTATCTTTTTAGGCAAGCGTTTCCTAAAGCTATATCATTGAAGACAGTAGCATAGTGAAAGTCATGTTAAGGTAGAAAGTAAACCGTGTTGGGGTACAGGCACATCTCAGAGATAGTGCAGCTTTGGCTCCAGGCTACCACAATAAAGTGAGTATTACAATAAAGTGAGACAGATTTTTTAGTTTCCCAGTGCACATAAAAGTTATGTTTATACTATACTGTATCTATTAACTACGCAATACCATTAATGTCTAAAAAACACTGTACATATCTTTTAAAAAGATTTTATTTATTTATTTATTTGAGATAGTGACCACAAGTGGGGATTGAGGGGGAGAGGTAGAGGGAGAAGCAGGCTCCCCGCTAAGCAGGGAGCCCGACGCAGGCTTCCATCCCAGGACTCCGGGATCATGACCTGAGCTGAAGGCAGAGGCTTAACTGACTGAGCCTCCCAGGTGTTCCTACACTGTACATATCTTAATTTAAAAATACTTGGGGAGTGCCTGGGTGGCTCAGTTGTTTAAGTGTCCAATTCTTGATCTCAGCTCAAGTCTTGATCTCAGGGTCATGAGTTCAAGTCCCACGTGGGGTTCCACACTGGGTGTGGAGCCTGCCTTAAAAAAAAAAGTATTGCTAAAAAAAATATTAGCATCATCTCAGCTTTCAGTGAGTTATAATCTTTTTGTTGGTGAAGGGTTTTGCCTTGG